TTCTGGAGAGGGCGCGAGATGGCCGCGTAGTCAACGCACCCAGCGATCTTAAATATCATGACCTGTGGGCGCCTGTGGCAGAGCAAGTATCCCTGGTAAAGCCTCCGGGACACACGTAACTACAGCACCGATACCTTCTGGCCACGCGGGGTCTGGCTTGCCAATGCGACCCCTCACACGCAACGAACGAACTGCCGGTTGGTCAACTGACTGAATGGCCGAACTGGGGCCTTCGGGCGAGTGATTGGGCCCCGGTTACCATCCGCCCGCCGGCAGTAGCCGTGTCAAGTTTAAACCCATCGGGCAGTCATAATGGGTATGATCAAAGTAGTGGTACCTTCAGCAGACTACCGGTCCCGGCTGACCTCGGCTCCGCCCTAACGCAGCACGAATACAGTCCCACTGCACGTGCCCCAGTGAGCCAGAGGTCCAACACGCCAGCTCCCTCCTTTCCCTGAGCCCATGCCGGAAGACCGGTCTACGCTGTACGCGGCTGCACTTCCCCTGAACATGTTCTTGCACACCGCAGGTCCAACAGCCGAGCCCGTGCCGCACTATGCTGTCACAATCACAGCGCCCTGGACGGGTCTGGCCGCCGCTCCTTGAGAAGGCGGCGGTCCGCGGACCGTGTAGTGTTGTGTGCCACAGTGTTATGAGGGGTTTTGAACTGAGGCAGACATTTTGAAAGTCATTCGGTGCAGCTCACAATCCTGCCCTCATCAACAGCTAAATTCCTCTAGTTTCTGAGCTGCACGCCCGCGAAGATGTGCAGACTACGTGTGTACACTATTTCAAGGTCATTCGGGCACGCGTGACGCTGAAGTCACGTCATTCGAATCCTGCCACCCATCGACCATGTGACGTTCAGGGCCAGGAAGAAAATTATCGTCGAGCGTTTTGGATCTGGCGTCCGTGATGACGACTTCAACATTTAGTGGACGTAAATTGGCCCCCAATCGATGTTGATCAAGCTGTGCAAGCATCAATCACGAATCACGTTTTGCACGTCATAGTAAGTTGGACATGGTTTTCACTCGCTAGTTGTTACGGAAATAAGGCTGCAAGCGAATAACGCAAGCATCGCGCCACAAGCAAGTGCGTGGATGTAAGGAAACATCTTAAACTGAGCCATAAGCGTGCAAGAACACCATGAGAAACCGCCAAATCACGAGCACATAAGCTGGTGTAGTTCCTTTGTTACAGCCGGGACAGAGCAGGCTGGCTCCTCTTCAGGAAAAACTCATCTAATTAACATCATCACTTTTTAAACCTATGTAAATAATGGAAAACGTCCGACTTACATACATTTTGTGTCAGCACGATGATGACACCACTTGGCACCAAGGTATTGTTGTTTAAAAACTGAAGCCGTTTAGGTGTGTCATACTGGTCTGCATGAAATTTTCTCCAAAAGGTTTTAGCTAACAGGCCTTTCTGCGTCCCGGTCGGGAACATATTCTCTGATGGACACCAGCAGATAAATTATGTGTCCCAGGGTCGCATGTTAGGCCTTGCGCTGCCTGAGGTGACGGTCGCTCATGCGGAAATTCCGTATATCTGTGGCTCCGAATATGCGTGCGGGAATGTGGAGAACTTAACAATTTACTAAAATTATTTTACCTGAAAATTAACACGCGCTCGGGTGGGTGGAGTCAAATTGACCCTCTCGAAGGTTTTTCCAAACTGGTTTCCGTACGGCGCGGCGTGGCCACGCCAAATTTTGGATAGCTGTAGACAATTGAATGACGGATCGTTTGGCAACACATATTTAGATGTACCTTGTAAGGTCGCTGACCTATGACAGGTTAAAGTCAGGCCATGGTTTCAGCGAGGGCAGTTTCTAGGGAGTCCTTCAATCTGATGCAACAATGGAGTGTTAGACGAAACCATACATCTCTGAGATGCTTTCTTAGGCAACACAACAGTTGAATGAGCAAATTATATTGACCTAAGGTCAGGTACAAAGGTTACACCAAGGTCAAAACCAACCTGATTTGCTACCCTAGAGCTTGCTCTATGGGATAGTTTCTGGTGCTCATTTCAAATTTATTGATGGCAGGAACCGCATTATACATCTTCCCTGGACTTCTTACAGGTCAGAATACGTCATCGACCTAAAATGACCCAGGTCAACATTTTGTTTTAGGAGCATACTGTTTGGCGTTATCATTGTCGCTTAGTCAAATGTAAAACTCCACGCAATCTCGTATGATTTTGGTCTTTAAAAGGTCAAAAAAGGTCACTGACCCTGAATGAGCATGCGAAATTTTGCTTAGAATCGGTTATTTAGGTTCCAGGCGCACTTTGGAGACCAAACTGGAACCTGACATTGCTTGACCTTTTTGGACCCAAAGGTCATGACCTACGAACCTGAAACTTTGACCTAAGTGAGTTCACATACAGGTCAACACACCCTGTAAATTTATGTCCCTCACTTTCTTAGTTCGCGAGATCTCAGGGAGGGGGTCATGTTGACCCCCCACCCCACCCGAGCGAAGGGTATCCAGCAGGCCACCCCGACGTCATTACGAGTCATTGATCTGTCAAACTCCCCTTCATATCATCTCTCACTGAATTTACTTTAGTGTTGACTTCATCGGACCCCAAGGCATCAACAATTACGTCATACTTATGCATAATTGCGGTTGTCATGCATTTCTCCGCCCCATGTCGATAGTCTGCTCCCGTATACATCCTAATGTCTTTAGGTTGGAACATTTGATATTGCGATTGCCACATACTTTGCATCGGTGAGCTTGTATGACCGTATCATACTTGACTCACGGGCATTGCTACACTCCGCTCCAAAGGCCGTAACCCCAGGCATTTAAAGCACAGACTTTTGCGTCTCTGGCGTTATTAGGAAAAATGATCGTGGGTAGGAAATTCCGCACTCGTCCTGCCACCGGGCTGTACTATTTTGACAGAAACCCCAGAGTGTGTAGTGAGAGGGAATAGTTAGATGGGAATTAGTGCCTTTCGCGCACACATTTTTAATGAGTTCTTACGCCCGCACCCGTCTCCCGACTGCTACACCACCGCCGAGCCGAGACGACCCCTCCCGGTGCCACCAGCGGCCGCGTCCCTGGCGGTGAGCCGCGGCCGGCCCGCCGTCCTGAGCGTCACGCCACCACCGGCTATCGGCCAGCGGTGTTGACCCAGCACAGCCCGGCTATCGGCCGTCTATCGTCGGTTTCGCCATGATCCGGGCCGCGCGAATGATGCAGCCCCGCCGACAGCGGCGACCGACGACGCGCCACCTCTCGGCGAAGGCCGGGCCCGACGTTCTGTGCCGTACTGCAGCGTAGCGTGGTGGCCAAAGACGGGCGCGTGGACGGCCGTGGTCGAGTCGGACAGATGCGCTTCTTCCAGCTGATTCCCGATTGGTTTAGACGGGCGGTTGTGACATGCAGTTCATGCCAAGGCGTGCATGCGGCGTGTGTATCCTATCCTGAGCCATAGCTCAGGATACACACGCGGAGGGCGTAGCTTCGAAACAGGAATTCGGTGGGCGGGGAGGGGGGCGGGGAAGCAGTGAGAAATCACGCAACCTGCCCTCCATAATACACCAACAAACGGATCCTTCCCAGATAAGGCCCATTGTCTTCTTAAAGTAGACAAGCTGGAAAACAATTTGGGGTCTGCTGCCTTCCCCCCCAGCTGACCAGGATTCCACGCTCCTGGAAGGTCTTTCTATCCGTGCCGTGCTACAACACGGCTGCCGTGTGGCACGTGACTCGTGTGGCCAGTCATCCGCTAACCGTTCCACGCCGACCAAGCCGAACACTTCACCCTTTCTTCGTGGCGGACCGAGAACCGCTGTGTTTGGACTTCAGCAGTCTTCCCTGGACTACTGGAGCAGACCACAACGTCCGCAGGCCGCCCGGTGGTGACGGACGGCCCGAGCACCGGCATGGCGGCCGTGTTCAGCTTTGCTGTCTCGCTGAAAGGGCACGGCGAAAACTTGTTCGTGTGGCATACTTCCAGGTACAGGGGCGCTGGAACTATGTTCAAGTCGGGGAACCAACTCCGAAATTCCCAAATGGGCCCTTCGCGGGCCAGAATGGGCCCGCCACCTCTACAGGCCAGAATGGGCTGACTTTACCTTCTGAAATGGACTCTGGCAGTCGGCAATAGGCCATCTTCAGGTCAATTTTGGCCTTCTACGGATCAAGATGGACCCTCTATAAACCAAAATAGGCTCTCTGCAGGACAAAATTGGCCCTCAAGTCGATAAAAGGCCTTCTATCAGCCAGAATGGGGGGGGGGGGGCACTCTACAATCAAGGATGGACCCTCTGCGATCTGAATGAGCCCCTGTACAGTTCAGAATGAGCCATGTGCAGGCCGGAATGGGCCCTAGACATTCAATAATAGATCCTCTTCAGGTCATAGTAAGCCCTCTGCTGGCCAGAGTGGGCACGCCGCAGTCAATTATAGGCCGTCTACAGACCAGAATGAGCCTCCACAGGCCGGGATGGGTCCTCCATAGTCAATGATGAACCTTCTACAGGTCAGAGTGGACCTCTGCAGACTCAGAATTGCCCGCTTTAAGGCCCGAATGGACCCTAAACAACCCAAAATGAAATTTCGACAGGTCAGAGGGGGTTCGTGTGGCGTGTCCGAGTTTGTGCGACACTTCTAAGATGCCAATCGCTGATCATTTCTTATACGTCGCGGCCTGAATCGTGATCAATCCTATCGTATATGAAACCGTCGAAGGGCCTGAGCTTGACCCCAACAGTCCACCAGCCAGGTGCAAATCAACAGACAAGACACAGCACGCACAGTTGTGCGCCCAGCCGCGAGCGCGGACAGACAGTGCTCCGATTCAAAATCGAGCCTCGATGCTGGAATACTGGGGCCATGGACACGACAGCGATGCAGACTCACGGCCTGATAAAGCGATAGAGCCGATAATGTCACCGCTCGGTTCTGCGTCACCCGGTATAGACGTGTGGGCGGCGGTGCGATAGCCGCCGGGTGATAGCGGGGCGAGGCCGCACAAACCGAACAGGCTCGGTGCAGCACACCGCAGCTGTCCAGAGCCGGGCCGCCCGACCGAGGAGACCCGGGAGACGGGAGCAGGAGACGCGCGCGGCCCAACAGCAGACGTCCCGCACTAAGCCCGAGGAGACTCCCGACCAGAACGGACAGGCCTGTCGCGTTCTCAGCACGAGAGAGACCGCCCGAGCTTGGCGGAGGAGCGCGGAGGAGTCCCCGTCAGAGGCCAGGACCGGTCAGGCGAAGCCACCAACAGCCGACAGAGTCGCAGTCATGCCTTCAGTGTACTTAGGCAACCTCTTCGGCATCGCTTCCCTGCTGAAGCTTGCCGAAATCGTGAGTTGGTCACCTCTGTTGGGACTGGACGGGGCACGAAAAGGGGAGGCGTAAGGCAGTCCGGCGCTTCGCCGCTTATCCGGGGAAAGTGCTGATCACCGCTTGCGTAACTCTGTCGAAATGCCGTTGTCATGTGTGCTGGTTCCCTCTTTCTCCTAAGGCGAATGGGCCATATTTGTACAGGGGTTTTAACTGAGCTAGCCATCTTTTAAGATCGTTGCCTGCAGCTCACAGCCATACCCTTTCTAAGGTTTTAAATCCTCTTGCTTCTTAGCTTGACGCACACTAGCTTGTACAGGCCGTTTCGCGCCGCTCATTTAGAAATGACCTAGGCATGCATGAGACCACAGAAAAGTCACACGAACATCCTCATCTCACGCTCCGTAGTGTGCTTATGGTCAGCAAAATTAGGACCGTGGAAATATTCATGTTAGGAGTACGTCAATAGAGGTGTTACAACGACACAACACAATTGGCTAGCGGTCACTTTAAGTTGCCGATAGCCTGTACTCATCACGAACCGGCTTTGCGATGGAGTATTTCTGGCAGCAATAACTCTAGTCTGATTTAAGTCGTCCAAGTGTTCCCAGGTGTTCAGACCTCCGAGATGTTGTTGAGGTTGGACCAACCAACCAATGTATTGGTTGGAGAACTAACAATTAACATTCGTTGAAAAATGGCCTGTATCGTACCACATGAATGTCGCGTATAAGCGGTGGCCAAAGAAGTAATATCGCTGCTAAGTAAAGGCTAGGTAGGCTTTGCAGCAGACAAAACGACATGCAGAGGTTGCTTTAGATATAGGTTTTTCATTACTTTTCAAGTCTCGTCGTGCAGCACGTTTTTGCTGCGGTAGAAATGGCCGGCATAGGTTTTTTCAGTACAAGCTTTTTAGTGCGACACTCATGTCACGTATGATTTTTTTTTGGAGCAGACCTAATGTCGCGTGCCTATAAAAAAGAGTTAAACGCCCGCGAAGATTTGCAAACTTTTTCGGCAAGACCATTTCGAGGTTGTCCGAGCATCCGTGACGCCATAATAACGTCACTGAAATCCTGTCATTCCATTAGCCATGCGGCAATCAAAGCCAAAAATATGGCTCTCGAGTCGTTCATATTCGGCCTTCATGAGCGCAATTTCCAGATATAACGACCGTCGATTGTCTCTCAATCAATGTTCTGCAAGGCACGATGACATTGTCAGACAGTGACGTAACAGGAACACATTTACTTAACAGAGACAATGTGTTGTCTAGTGGAGGCTTTTCCGGTTAAAAGCATACCAACAGTTACAAGCGAGCATATTTCACCCTATCTGATGCTTGCTTCATTATCCTCAAATGTGCAACATTTCCTTCAAGATGGACGTCTGGGAGATCGGAGGTGCAAGGTTAGATTCCCCGCGTTGCCCGCACTTCTTACCGGGGTGAGAAGTCTGTGGATCTATAGCCTTTGTAGCTGAACGCATCGTAAAGCCCGGTGACAGCGGTCTTCTACTATTCTTCCTTCCTGGTGTGCTTTTTTAATCCCTGTTTGAGGGGGATTTGCTCCCTACCATGATCTGAATTGATCACTTTTGTATTGTGCTCACATATTGTTGTCATTTCCGTCATTTCTCTGAAGCTGGTTTTCATAGTGATACGAGTTCGTAAAAACGAAGTAAGAGCGTCGAACGGGCCTCCCCCACACTGTCAGGTTGAAATGTGTGTTGGCACGCTGGAAAGCTGCAATCAGCGTGTCAGGGAAACCTTACTGAGAGAAAACTGAAGAAATGATAATAAGAAATAAATATAATGATAATAATAGTAATAATAACAATAATGATAATAATAAATAATCATAAAAATAAAGCAAATACCAGCTGAGAGAAGACTCAAGAATACACATGTTGGGATCCATGTATCAGACACAACACTAGCATAGCAATCTGTGATAATCATTTAAGTTGCGCATCACGCAAAATGAAACAGGCGTATCGCTTGCTTGCAGGCTCTGGGATTGTGTTGTGCACGCTATTTGTTTGGATGATAATCCAAACAGCAAGTAACTGGTAATTGTTTTTCACTTGAGAAGAAAAGCGTGGAGTTACCCAAGATACGCATCGCGGCACACAGCCATACGCAATGTTGATCATATGTACATGTGGATATTGAGAATGGAGGCTGCAGCCACGCGCCTACACGGCACAAGAGTAATAAAATATTTTCCACCTACACGGTAAAAAAGAACAAAAAAGTTCAAACCGGCTCCTAACATTCCTAATTCGTTTTCCTACGATATTTATTGACAAGCCTTCTGCTAACGATTGGAATTGGCCACCATTCAGCACCGTAGACGCTGACTAACTCGTGACACTGTTTCAGATATTTTTGCTGATCGTCGTGGCGGTCGCCGAGGCGGGCGACTTTCCTCCCCTATTCGGTGGGAGCCATCTCAGCCAGTTCTTCCTCGGTGCTGGTATCTGCGTGGGATACCTGATAATCAACCTCTGTTTGCTCGTCTCCTACGCCATTGGACATACCGGCACACAGCGTTCTGCGCTTGTGAGTGCAGTTAGCTTTCAACCAGACGCTACGCGGACAACGTTCCGTCTCGTAGTAGGCCTGCGTGGTGCCGGTGTGGTGCCGGCGTACTGCGCATGCTGCGGGGGCACGCGTGTTGCATGCTGTTGAACGACGCGGTTGGAAGTGTAAAGCACCTCACGGGTTTCCATTAACACTACCGCTCACGCAGCAACCACGGGGTGCCATCAGCACGCCGAAACCTAGCCTTGCTTGCGATGAGCTGTGGGCATTGCTCACCGCCGCGCTGTGATGTGTGCTTCGATTACCGCTGAATATTGTGGTAATTGTATATCGGGCATTGCTTCCTGCACCGCTTAGTTATCCGTTATGCCTTTTCCTTAGCCCCTAGTCTTATTTTCCACGGTATTGTGGTATTGAGGCAAAGGTACTGTGGTGTTCTGGCATTGCTGACGGTCTTTACTAACCGTCTGGAATCTTCTTTTCTCTCTGTTCTGTAGGCAGCATCGGTTGCGTGCGTCTCATTCCGTCCTTGCCGATAACGTGTCTCAACTTGGCCAAAGAACACGATCGACTGCCCGTTTTCGGAGATTGCTACTCTCACTCCAGAGTCTGACCGAATAAGCCTACAATTGTTCCGCAGCTGTGTGGAATCACGACACAAAAAAACACGGGACTGGACGACGCGGACTGATCCGCGCGTTTCTCGCTCGTTTCAGGAGCTGTTCCTGTACATCGTGGGCTTCATCCTCTTTCTCTCACTCTCGATCTCTGTGTTTGTCAAATCATCTGATATTTATAATATCTATCACTTGAAGACAAAGTTGATCGTGGAGGGCTGCTTCCTGCTGATGACCGCCGTTTGCCAGCTGCTCGACGCCATCTTCAACTGGCGGCGCGACCCCCTTCAGTGAATGACGCGCGAAGACGCAACTCAGCAACTCACCGGAACAAGTCCGGGCAGAGACGCGTAATGTCACGAGCCACGCAACTTGAGGGCCCCCGGAATTCCCCAGAGGACCAACAGTGACCCGTGACGTCACTTAGTTCTGTCGGAACGAGCGCGGGCCATGACTCGACCACCTGGGCGCGGCCTTCGAAGGGACTTTGCAGTCTCGCGAGAGGTGAACGTCTGCGTGGGTAGGTGCATCCCAAAGGTGGCGTTTTGTGTAGCCTAGTGGATCAGGATGATCAGCATGCATGCAATGGACGGGGCTTGTCGGACGGTGCATTGCAGGCCACAGCTGTTACAGTATGTGTGCCTCTTATGTGCTTTGTGGAGCATTTACCAGCTTGCTTGATCTTTGCGAATACGCACGTTGTTACCGAGGTGGGTGATTTTTTGGGGAAAAGAAATCACATTCGTTTTCTATTAGTAAGACTTAAGGTACTGCGTTTTCAACTAATACACACCATCTTTCTGCTCGACCTCAATTGCAGTATTGATTAACAAGGTGGAGAGAGAGAGAGAGAGTGAGAGAGAGAGAGGGAGGAGAGAGAGTAGGAGAGAGAGAGAGAGAGAGAGAGAAGGATCTCCGATCTCTCTCTCTCTCTCGCTCTCTCTCTCTC